CTAGAAGCTAAAACGAACAGCCCCAAGCCATGCAATGACTTAGGATTATAAACGTTGGGACACTTGTTAAACACACCAGGACCTACAAAAAAGCCTCTTGAAGCCATGGTCCAAACCCAACAGGAAGTCGGCCATTTTGGATTAAACATACTTTTTTCCGTTTTTAAGTCATGACGTATCTCAGTGAAGGGCTATTTGTTTTTTTATAAGACAGAGACTTCAGATTCCCTTTGCATGGACTATACTTCATGGCAGATTAAAAGTTATCAAAATTATTATTCTACATGGAAGCATGTGGGCGTTGCTAAGCATCCAACTGTTAACTCCAGTCATACAAAGCCATGCTTTTAGGAGGAGGAGAAGGATAGTGAGGATGAGAAACAAACAGCAGTAGGAGACGCAGTGAGAGCAGCAGCAGGAAGAGGAATATGAAGAGAAGGAGCACAGGGGGAGGAGGATGATTAGGATGATAATCAGCAGAAGCAGAAGTAGAAGGAAGGGGAGGATTTAGAGAAGCAGCAAAAGGAGGGGAAGGATGAAGATAGGCAGCAGCAACAGGAGGATGAGGAGAATGAGCGACACAAAGAGGAAGAGGGTGATAAGGATGAGAAACAGCAGAAGGAGAATGGGGGAGGATGAAAAGAAGCAGGATAAGGAGGATGAAGAGGATGAGGAGAAGCAGCAGCAGGCAGGGGATGAAGAGAAAGAGCAGCAGCAGGAGAAGGAGATGCAGCAAGAGCGACAGCAGGAGGGGAGAAGGAGACGCAGCAAGATAAGCAGCGGCAGGAGGATGATGAGGAGAAGCTGCATTAGCAGGAGGATGAGTAAGATGAGGAGAGGGTGCAGGTGAAGGAGGATGGGAAACAGTGGCAGCAGCAGAAGGAGAAAAAGGATGATGAAGAGGAGCAGCACAGGGTGATGACGAGGATGAGGGGAAGCAGCAGCAGGCATAGGCTGAAGAGCAGGAGAATAGGCTGGGAAGTAGCGTGGAGCAGGCGGTCGCTTGGTTCCCGAGGTCGCGACATACCAGGCGGTGCGAGCTGCGAGGGCCGCTCAATGCCACTTGTGGCTTTAATCTTTTATTGGTTTACATTTGTCCTTTAGAGGATTGGTCATAACCGTCTTCTTATGCAATACCAAATCAAGATAAGGGCCATGCATAGCTCACATTATTATTCTTTCTAAGTCTGAGTAAAACCATAAATGTGCAAATGTCAAACAAAAAAGATTAGATTTAATGAATAGTTTCTGAAGAATACTTCTGATTTCAGGACGCGGGTATATTCAGCTTTTCAGTAGATAACGCCATGTGGCAGCTGGATGTTAAAGCATTACTAATTTAAAAAATAGGCTGGACAAAGATGGTGAGTCCTAAATAATGTAGCTGTCATCTACAATGAGTTTTCTGCTCAGTACAAAGAGGCTTTATCTCCTGAGGTAGTAGCATTTTAGAATGAACTTCCACGAAACACGCAGGTATGGCGAAACGTTATATGTATGCATGAAATCAAAGCAATGTGATGAAATGTCTTATTAATACTGAGGCTTGATTAAAACTTTTCATTCTCTTGAGTCCAATGCAGGAGGTTTGCATGTGTGCTTGCACGAGCAAACCTTCAAATCAGTTGGAGTTTAACGCAAAGAAAGGAGCAGCTGCATGTGTTACAACTCCTGTTCCCACAGTCAAACCTTAACTTACTCTCCCCATTAAGAAATCTTTCTTCACAAGTGTGAAGTGGCCAGCTAAAGAGACGAGAGCCTCCCTGGGCTCAGCTGGCTGTCTCCTGCTATACTATCACAGAAGTTGCAGTCATGTTTTGACACCCAGGAAAAAGGAAGAGCGAGGTCAAACAGCCCAACAGCATTTTGTGTTGTATACAATGTTTAGGGCCTAGAGTAACCCCTCGGGATTACACACTGATGCGGTTTGTCTTCTAGCCTGATTGGATAACCTTTTGTGAGAGAAAAATAGAGGAAGGAAGAACTTTTGACGTTTCAATGTCGAAAATGCAGAGCAGCTTTTGCACAAACACTATTTTGCAGAACTTTGCCCAGAATACATCTAAAAAAAAAAGCAATGTTAGAGCAGCTACTGAAAATAAGTCATGCTTTACAAAAATGCAACTTTTTGCATTATTATTTTTGTTGTTGTTGCTGATAGGAGGTTCACAAGGAGTACTTTCACACCTGGAAAGGTAGCGAGCTATTCATCTGGTGCTCTTTAGACAGGAACCAAAAAAACTATACACAAAAGAACAGAGATGGACTACAAAGACAGACAATGAAGATTTAAAGTTTCATATGACAAAGTTTATTAATAAATCATGAATTAATAAGCAAAGGAGACATCGCATCCTTCTTTAGATTTGCTGGATTGTAAATTTGAATACCAGTTTTAACAAACATACCAGGGTTCACTTAAGATTAAGAGTCTGTTTTTTGCACCTGGGGGGGAAAAAAGTTGCAGAGGTATCTTAGAAATGTCCATAGGTTTCAATTCCTTCTGTTTTCTCATAACTGCAGCTTGTTCCACCAGTACAAGACATACCTCATAAACCATTGAATAATCACCATCTCTTTTTCTTTTTTTTCGTTTTAAGAAGTACAGATCTTGTGATTTGCTTAGAGCGCTTTGCTTCTGTAACCTTTCCAACAGCAGCTCTCGCTCTGACATCTTCCCAGTCACAAGCTTCTGGCTAGTAGCCACATGCCGGCAGCTGGCATGAACAGATCAACTTTCTATTCATCTACTTTCTCTTATACATTATATCACATGAGTGAGGGTATGCTGAGGCCAAAGGGGGTACACAAATATGAACTCCCGTTTACAGGGTTAAAATACTCTAAGTTAGATTTGGAAATTTTATTATCATGTGTGATATTTTGATGAATACACTGGAATCAAATGAGAGACACGTGGTCATGTATCAATGACCAACACCCATTTATCAGCCGTCAGTCCATCCACTAATGGTAATCTATAGCTCTCTTTTGGGTGCTTTAGAAAATCCGAGAAAATGGGGGAACTGGACCATCCAATGACATAAACCATTTTGATTTATGTACTTTTAAGTTTACATACCAGTGAATCCACCAAAGACAAGGTTATTCTTGGCTGTTTATATGTAGGTCATTTCCTTTCCTTTCCAGAGATAAATAAAGATCAGATTCAGATAAGTTTCTTTAGAAAGAACTAAATATTTACTGTGCTGTCCTGATTTTTGCACTCTGGCCACTATAGTAATGTTCTCATTTTTTCTGTTCTTGTTTTTTCCGGTGGCCGATAGGCAAAAACACAAGGAAAATACATAAACTCGATGGGAATACAAAATGTACAATGAACATAGAAATGATGCTAGTGAATTTAAAAATCATACCAAATAGTGTTATGAAATCCTGCTTGAAAGCTCTATGTAACTGCGGTCGGTAATTTTTCTGGTACCATTCAGGAATCAGCCATTAGGACTGGGAAGCCTTCATCATTTGTTTAAAACATCATAAATAAACGGTCTTGGTTATTGGGGATCTGTCTCCAAGAATAGTGAAAAAAAAGCTTTGTGATTTGTGCAGTTAAAAAACACATTCAACACATTCTCTCCTGGCATCGTGATCCTCCACAAAAATGTTGAATACCACAGAGGGAGGATCTAATATTTACTTTTGTAGTGAAACAAAGATGCGGCATCTAACTGGGTCTCAGCCTATAAAAAAGAAAAACAGAAAATAAAACAAAACAACAGAACAAAAACTACTACTTTAAAGTATTTAGATTTTTTTAATTTTGCATCCCTCCACATACTGGAACAGCAACAGACTTTACAGCTATATGTGTATTTGACCAATCTGGGCCATTTTTCAGTTCAAACAAACACATAAAGAAATGTGACATTCTATCTTATTAGCAAAACAGCATAAACAATAACCAATCACAGTCTCTCAATGACATTTATTTACAAAAGTTTATGTGGATTGATTTTCAGTTTTCTCCTCTCAACCACATTTTTAGTTTTCCAAAATAGTGTTTATTGTTGCAACAATAAGCTGCAGTTAGTTGAATTTGGGTAAAACACATTTTTAAGCTTAAGATAACAAACAATATTGCCAGTTCTTATGATAATGTGCAAATTAACTTGGATGTTCATAAACAGATGCATGCAGGCCAAGAACGTGAGCATTACTCTTTTTATATACCGTTCACACATTTTCACTCAGGTTATCTTATCCATCAGTTGTAAAAATAGTAAATAACACGTCCTCTTTAGCCATTTATTTAACAATACCGGACATGTAGACAGGGGTTAAAGATATAATTGCCTGTTTCACAGAAGAGAATGAGGGTTCAAACCGAGGCCTTGGTCTATCTGAGTTTTAAATCTCTGTTGACACAACAGATGATTTGTACGTTTGGTTGGCCAAGCGAACGTCTCTGACGTGCGAGGCTGTTTTCTTTTTGTTTTCAGCACCTAGTTGAAAGCTTTTGTCTCTGATTTTTTTTTTTACCTGAATGTCAAATCACACTGAAGATGATAAAGTATCTTTGTTGAAACAGAAACTTGCATTTGTTATCAAAACAGTTCCCTTTTCTTAATGTTATCTGTTTCCATGCCCCCACAGAGCCGCATGGCCGAGAGCTTGCGTCTGTTTGACTCCATCTGCAACAACAACTGGTTCACCAACACGTCACTCATCCTCTTCCTTAACAAGAAGGACTTGCTGGCTGAGAAGATAAAACGCATTCCCTTGACAGTGTGCTTCCCAGACTACAAAGGGCAGAACACCTATGAGGAGGCAGCCGTCTATGTGCAGCGGCAGTTCGAGGATCTCAACCGCAACAAAGAGACCAAGGAGATCTACTCGCACTTCACCTGTGCCACCGACACCAGCAACATCCAATTTGTGTTTGATGCTGTCACGGACGTGATCATCCAGAACAATCTTAAGTATATTGGGCTATGCTAGGACCTGTCACTAGGTGGGAGTCGGGGTTGGGTGGGTTTGGCCGGCAGGTGAAATGGAGGCAGCTCAGCGCCCAAAAGAGCGCACTATATTAGTATGTCTACTTTCAGGAAGGGCAGCAGAGAACTGAAGATGAAAACCTGTATTAAGAAAGTCGGTTTGGACTATACAGTAGATTCAAAAGAGCTGCCAGGCCATGGGCAAGGTGGGAGTTTTTACCCTATGTGTTTGCACTGAATATAAGTATGCAGAGACACCACACATAAACACACACACACACGTACATCTTTATGGTTTGTTCACACAAAAGGTATTTGGGTCAACCCTCTTTTGACAGAGCGACACTGGAAACTTCAAGATGACTACCCTTGTCAAACCTAAGAGTTAGATCCTCCTATTAACTGGCTGTTTTTCCCCCCCTTTCTTTATTTGCCTGAGTCAATTGATGCTGCTTTGAGATAAAAAAAATCTTGACAAATCGATGCTGTTTGTTTAGGGGTGGGAGGATGGGTCTTCACCTATTTGTTAGGAAACAGCAAGCGCACCTAATAAGGTGCAAAGTAAGCCTCTGCTTCTGAGGGGGGAAAAAGTCTGTAGATATGATGTCAAAAGGGTTGCTGCCAAAAAAAGGAAACTGCCACAACCTGAAAATTTTAATTCTAACTTTTTCAGCACAGCAGTGCCTTGTAAACACATAGCCCCCCTGAAAACTTCAGTCTTTTGTTACGCTACAAACACAAAGTTTAATTGGTCATTAGGTTTTATGTAACGGATCAGCACAAAGTAGTGCATTATTGAAGAGTGGAATAAAAATAAGAAATAGTTTTCCATTTAATTAAAACAATATTTGTTGTGCATTTATGTTTATCCCCCTTTTATTTTATGCCTCCTTTAATAAGTATATAATAGTATATACGTATATATACCACAATAGTATATATACATAAAGTTTATGATAAAATTAAATGTACTCCAGCATCAAAACCGACATGTACTTTGATGATTTGAAAACATTTGAGGTTCCACTGAAGTCTAACAACTTTTTAAGGCTTACCCAGACATGACAAAAGAGAAACATTAATAACAGTATAACCAGCAGTTTAAAGAACATTAGGGAACAGCACCTTGAAGACCAACCCTAACCCTAACCCTGTGGGGATGTTTAAATAGAGACCAAAGTTCCACAACTTTACAATTCTTATGGTGTTAAGCTGTCTCCTCCTTAAAATGCAAAATGTTGGAACAGCTGCAAAGTTACCAAAACCACAGCACATGGTGGATTTTGCAGAATTTAAAAAAAAAAAACTGAAACAGAAAATTAATAAAATACAGAGCCATACTGAAAGCACACTTGTTAGAGGGTGCAAAACATCTGGAGGACTACAGATAGAGGCCCGAGGCCCAGTCAAAGTCCAGAGCTAAATCTTATTAAAGGAATAGTACACCCAAAACATGATTAGCCTTCATTTTCTACTCACCCCCATGCTGAACAACACTCTGGAGTACTTTTTTGATATCTCAAATGCATCTGGAGATCTGGGAGGCTTCTTGCTGTCTGCTGACATTCAAATAATGGAGGTCTATTGTGCCCGAGACAGAAAGGTCCATAAAAGTCCACAAAAACGTGTCAATATTCCTCCATACTGCACGTCCAATGTATTCCAATTGTCCTGAGTGGGTAGCATCCAGAATTTACTCGAAACGAAGTCATTTAGAATGTTTTTAGAGCATAAACAGTAGTGTATAGGATTTCCTGAAAGCGCGCACATGCGCGTTCACGAGCCTACGGAAGCCGGCAGACCAAACCAGCGCATTCAGCTCGGCAAAGAACTCCTGCTCTTCCTCAACACTGAAGTCCTCAGACATTTTTCTTTCGTTGTTTCTTTCTTTGCACAGGTAAACGGCACATTTCTTCTTCTACGCTTGCATTATCAGCAGAGCAGACGCTGAATGCGCACTTTCATCTGGTTTGGTCTGCCGGCTTCCGTAGCGTCCTGAACGCGCTGGCGCGGGCTTTCAGGAAATCCTATACACTACTGTTTATGCTCTAAAAACATTCTAAATGACTTCGTTTCGAGTAAATTCTGGATGCTACCCACTCAGGACACTTGGAATACATTGGACGAGCAGTATGGAGGAATATTGACACGTTTTTGTGGACTTTTATGGACCTTTCTGCCTCGGGCACCGTAGACCTCCATTATTTGAATGTCAGCAGACAGCAAGAAGCCTCCCAGATCTCCAGATGCATTTGAGATATCAAAAAAGTACTCCAGAGTGTTGTTCAGCATGGAGGTGAGTAGAAAATGAAGGCTAATCATGTTTTGGGTGTACTATTCCTTTAAGAATCTGTAGCACAGGCTGAAATTTAAAAGATAGACACTCAGCCTGCAACAAGGGTTAGCGTTAGGAATTTTGCATTATGGAGTTGGTAAGATATTGAATCTCTGATATTAGCTTGAAGTGACAAAAGACCAAATACTAATAATAATTTAGCATTAGGTTAAAATGACTTCTGAAGGCAGTTGATTGCCTAATTTTATTTTATGTTGTCAGAATAAGGGGATAAATATAAATTCAATCCAGATCTTTCAGATTTTTGTCCATTTAATGTCTTGGGGAAATTTGCTTCCAAATGATGCACTAGTTTGTTCTGGCTTATCAAATGAACTTACTGTAAGTGAAATAAAACATTGAAATTCAGGTGGTAAAATTCCATTTGCAGGGCACTGTATTACTGATCTTTCCTCTGGTTGACCCTCCAATGTTGTTCTTTTGTTCTCCTCATTTTTCTTTAATCGTTTTGTGCTTTTAAAAGAAATAAAAAAAAAAGTCTCTCAGACCTGCTCTTAATAGCAGGCCTCTGATTAAAAATACCTAAGGTATGTTACACTCAGATGAGAGTAAAAGTATTTATAACCGTTCCAAGAGTCCAGTGAGCGACAACAAAAAACCGTGCCAACATCAGTTTGTAAATAAAACCAGATCCCATGCATTTTTTTCCATTTTTGTTTTTATGGAAAATACATTAAAACATGCATGATTTTGTTACTTTGGGATATTAATATATATTTTCTTTGGGATTATGTTTTTCTTTTCTCCAGTTTAAATAATATATTCCCAAAAAATATATATAAAAGTCAAACACTGTGTACGATTGTACAGTTCTCAGAGAGAAATCTATTGAAAAAGAATTTTATGAATATAAAAACACTGAGAAAAAAATGTTATGTTGACAAAGAAGATTACAATGATGGAATGACAACAAAACTATTTCTTTAATGTCATTGTGTGAGGAAAAAGTGGATCAAAGAACAAGAATTTACAAGAAAACATCATTAAGCAAATATTGAAAGTTCAATCTTCCTTTCGTTATCTAAGTGGAAATTGTCAGTCGCTATGATGTGTAAATATACTGTAAGGTACACTCTTTGTTCAAAGAAATGAAAATAAAGGTTGAGTTGGGATACTGTTAGTGACATAAAGAGACAGAAGCGGAAGAACCCTCTCTGCTCTTCCCTCTGTCTTTACAGCTCAGAGAACAACTCAGCCAAGGGCTTTACAGGATGTCCACTTCAACAAAATATATAAAAACAAAACAAAAAACAGTGAGTTACAAATATAAAAAGGACGATAACTGAATAAAACAATTTATGCAAATTTTGATGGTGTAGTGAATGTGTTTTTTGGGTGAGTTTTTGTCAAAATGTCTTGTTTTACATTGAATATGCAGCAAAATAATTCCCAGAATGGTCGTATCTAAAAAAAAAAAAAAGGGGTGGGGGTCCATTGTGTACAATGTAGCCACTGAAGCAAAAAGAAACTTTGGCCATGAAGTATGCAATTAAATTAGTTCTCAATGAACTTGGCCTCTGTGTGGTGGGATGACAGGATTCCTCTCTAATTAGTGTATAAACTCGCACTGACCCAACAGGTCTGCCAGTTCACCAACAAGTTTTTTTTCTAAGAACTAAACCTCACAAGACACAAATTTCGGTTTGATTAGAGCACTTTTGAAGCTCTCTATCAAAAAAAAAAAAACCCACTAAATATGCAGTGCTCCACACTTTTGTTTTTTGAGTAAAAAAATACAGACCCTTATTTGGAATACATTCATTGAGTGGAGAAAAAACAATAACAAAAACAACAAATAAATGTACTTATCTTTAACATTACTGATAACTCTTTCCTTTTTTTTCAGTTAGTGAAGTTATAACAAGAAAATTGAATTGTATTTTAACAGACAGAACAAGACAAAGCAGAGCATTATCATCAATCTAAAGTAAAACTGCATGACAGAAATCATCTAACGAGTAAAAAGAGTCTTCCTGTAAGTAATTTAATCTTGGTATAGAAACATCTGTTCTGTTAAGACCTCAGAGCTTTGTTACAGCACAAGGAACAAGAAGACAGATCAGGAATAAGGTTGTGAAGAACTTTTTTTGAACATCTAATGGAGTACCATACATCTAAAACTTGATGGACCACTAGAAAGATCTATAGAGATGTACAGCTGAAGTCTGATAATCTGTTGACAGGATACATTTTAGATATAAACTCATAAGGTAGACTACAACCTTTACAGAAGAGTAGCAATTATAAAGAAACTGTTGGAAAACAGAGTTTTAAGGCCTGTTTGCAGTTTCCTAGGAACCACACACAGAAGATATTTGGGAAAAGGTGCTCTGGTTGGAACAGATTAAAATGAGCCTTCCGACATATGACTAAAAACTGTGGGACTGATACTCAAAAGATTTGTGCATCTTAAAAAAGGGGCAAACTTGTTTTTATGCACAGCCTATCTTCAAAAAAGGTGTAAATAGTTTTTCATTTGCAATTCAGCAGACAGCATGAGTGTTTGCTTTCATCAAAATGTCGATCATATTATGATGACCAAACTGCGCAAATCATTGGGTGGAGGATATGCAAATGTAAATATTTACAACCTGCCAAGTACTTTTCCACATCTGCATTTCTTTAAGTGAGATGCAAACTGACATGCAAAGAAAGAAAGGTATTCAGTGCACATATGAATGTATTTGGACTGTTAAAAAAATAACACTAGCAGAATAATAATAATAAAGAAATCATCCCTACATGGACCTATTTGAAAACATGATTTTCCCCTTAAAACATAACCATGAGTTCACTTTCTTCAACCACACTAAGGCCTGAATATTGCCACACCTGTTATCAATCAAGAACTTACCTACATAAGACCTTCTTGACAGAGCGAAGTACACTTTAAGATTCTCAAAAGCTAGACATTATGGCAAGAGTTAAAAAAATTCAGAACCAAACAAAAAAGACATTGAGGTCCATCAGTTTTGAATGGGTTAGAAAACTATTTCTAAAGCTTCAGGACTCCAGTGAACCACAATGACAGGCATTACACACAACCTCGTGCGACCTCGAGTTTCAAGATGTATACCACTTCTGAGCAAAAGGAACAAGAACACTTGTCTCAATTTTCCCTGATCCCCAAGTCTTTCTAGTAGTTAGTCTGTGGACAAAAGGTAAACTTTGGGGATCGTGTTAATGCCAGTACTTCTGATGTAAACGTAACACTACATTTTGTGAAAAGAATGTCAGACCAACAGTAGAAAATGATGGTGGCATGGTTAACGTCTATTTCTGTTTTGCTGCTTTAGAACCTGGAAATCTCGCTG